CTTCCCTTAATGTTTCTTTGGGGGAAACAAGCGGTTAGACGAGGGCTCAGCCAGGTGACAAAGACATAATTCTTGTAGCTCTCATACCACACATGCAGTTGCTGAAGCTAATTTTTCAGGAAAATGCTGGGATTCTATGGGGATTTTCTTTTCTTTTAAGACTTGGTATTTCGTTAACGGATTATTTATCAAAGGGATGTCCTAGCTCATTGGGGCGTATGGAGAGCATTCCCTAGGCCCCTATCACAGGTGACTTTTAAAATACTTGAGGTGAATTTTACCCTTGGGCAGAAGGCCAAAGCATCACTTAAGCAGGACTTAAATTTGGGGGTTGCCATTTACTAAGAAGCTTGCTATAGTGTTGCCTGATTTATCCAATACTCTGTTATATAAAATAGGGTCATGCTCCAGATGTCTATAAATTTAAAAATCCTCTCTGTTATCCATGTTTATTCAGGAGTCATAATTGTACTGAACCTGCAGCTTCGCTTTAGCCCACTAAGACAGAGAGAATGATTTTGATTTGCTATCCTCTATTAACTGTGAGGTTGCAATGATTTCAGGGGCATATCTACACTGAAGTCCTGGGGTGTGATTGCAGCTCCAGTCAATATACCCAAGCTAGCTTTAATCTGTACCTACATCTACACAAGCTGCAATTGTAGGATGATTGCAGTGTAGATGTACCCAACGGCAACAGTTTCAATAAATGAAGAAAAAAGGTATTTATATTGTGGAAAATACGTTCCATCCAACACCTCCAGGGACTTGACAGTCAGATCATAGCACACGGATACTTTCGCTGGTTCAAGGGAAGAGGAATCAGTGGGTGGGTGGCGGCAGGGAGGGTGTTTGTCTGCATAGCAACCAGAAACAGAAAAGTGGATGTGACAAAACTACTTCTGCCAACAAGAGGGTTTTCAGTGACAACCTAGCAAAGGTTAAGATGGCAGCACCACTTCCTGGGGCAAGCAGGGTAATTAGGGATATGGGAGCAGCTGCACTGTCCACAGCCATTAGAGCCAGAGTGGTAAGTGTAATTTACATAACTGTTGAGGTTTTGGACAAAGCACCAGACTTGTACTGTGTAATTTAAGAAATCAGCTTTGTGGCTTCCCAAGTTGGCCAGACCTGGATCTTGTCTGCTCAGATAGTACATGCTTTGATGACTCTCCATCAACTGGCTGCTCATATATTTCATCTACAACTTCTGCTGTTTGCTAGATTTGATTTTTACTTGGTTTTGTTTTCTTAAAAGTTGTGTAAAAGAGAGAATGAAATCTGCACCCTCAGACCAGAAGAGCTGGTGTCTAAAACACGTTAACAAATACAGAGCAGTAGCCTGAAGACATGCAGGCAGAACACCAATCAACTGTGTTTTCCTACCAAATGCTCCAAACATTTAGCAACTCATGAAGCAACCACTTTTTTAAACAATTTGGTGAAATTTTTGGCGACCCCAATAATTCAAAACTAAACACTGACTCCCAGTAAAGGCAGGCATAACCAGACTCCACCCACACAAAACCACGCTTGCCAGGAGCCATCTCTAAAATGCAACAAGTTGCAACTGCCCTCATCTCTTACATAGTGCTTCCCGGCAGAAGTCTCAGCATGCAGAATTCCAGCTTGAATCTAGTTGGAGCATTACGTGCTCAGACCTGTAGTCTCTGCAGGCTACACGCCATCCTATTAAAAATCACAGCTGCCGTGGGCAGCAGTAGAACTCTACATGCCATGTTTTGGCCACCTTATTTTCTAGCTGTTCCAAAAATTCTGCACGGCAATATGTATGTGATGAGTCTCTATTTCTTTTTTATTTAAAAAAATCTGCAGTATATAGCCTACTTTCTATAGCAGTTTGCTTTATCCACCATCCACCTGCCCATGCACACAAAACAGCTAGTGTAAAACAGCAAGCGTACTCTCGATGTTGTGGTTCTTCACTATTTATAATCTGAATCCTTCTGGAACCATCAAATGTTGCTTAGGGTACAAACAGGACTCTGCTGTCCTTCCCCATCCTGGGCCACTCTTTGCATGTTCTCTCTGTTGTTAAGTCCCATATTCCCCCCACCCCCAGCTTAGTACTATTTGACAGAGGGGTTCTTTCAGTCAGCCCCTTTTACACGTTCCTCTAGCTACCCAATAGCACACCTGCCACAACAAATGCTCTGACTTTATTCTTAACATGTCCCAGATATTTCCATCTTCTTTTCTGGATAACTTTGGAGATAAGCTATTGAACTCTCTGATGAATCTCGGCATTTGTGATACATGTTTGCTTTCGAAGGCATTTTAGACATCTGTCTGTACCTCTGATGGATTTCCAGCTTTCACATCCATGTATAAAGGTGGAAAGAACACTGTTTGTAGTGGACTGAAAAAAATATTGAAATCTCTTTTATGCTCAGACCAGCTAGCAACTAATCAGCAAAGCATCCTGAGGGTCTTGTGTTCTCCATCTGCTCTGTCTTTTCATCTTCCTGCTTTTATGTGTAATAGCCTTCCCAGTAGGCACTAGCAAACTTTTCACTGTAATTTCTCTCCCACAATCCTAACCCACCACTGGCAATCTGATGCCTTCCCCCACATGAGAGCAAGCACTGTGCTGTGGCAGGGTTTGTGTAGCCCAGCAGAAGTGGGCAGCCCAGTCATAACACGTTGAGTAGATCTGTAATGCAGAAGGTGGAAAAAACAACCCTTTTGCTTGACCGGCTTTCGGGAGTTATGACTGAAGCTCTGCAGCTGCCTTGAGAACTTGGGGAAATAAATTTTTTTTTGGCAGATTGGAAGACCTGGGACAGGAATAAAACGTACTGTATGTTGAGATCAGCTGAGACTCTGCTGGTCAAACCTAAGTTGGAAGACTATCTGGGTTTCTGATCTGTTAGTCTGCGTTGCATTAGCTCCAGCTCTATCTGATTGCTGATGAATAACGAATACACTCACCTAGCCTTCTCAGATGTGTGCATACCAAGTAACATATGGCCTCAAAGATAGGGGTAATTAGAACCTACTGGGCCATCTCTGAAGCTGTTCCATCCTCCACTGCACACACCCCTGAGTTTTTTCTTGCACCACATTTTTCACTGGTCTACTATTAATATCATAAATAAGGTGCGTAGTGGATGGCCTCGATATTTTCATAGCTGGTAAGCATTGTGTTAATTGTTTGGTAAAAATTGTTCTCGAAATCCATTGAAGGGCCCTGTTCTGGCATAAACATCTCACTCTTTTTTGCACAAAGGTTTGAGTGGTCCATGCTTATTGCTCAGCTGCTGCTAATGAATAGTAGGTGTTCTGTGGCCAAAATTAGAGGCTCAATCAATGGCTTCTTTTCATATAGTCCAGGGAATAGAAAACAGTAAATTCTCTAGTCTCAGGAAGAACCTGCTTCCCCTTTCAGCTTTGCTCCGCAGCAGCTGACTCTCTAAGCTACCTCCCTTCCTGTTGGAGGAACAAAATCAACTCTGATCAAGTCCAAATTTGGACCAGTAGCAATGTGAGCACTGAAGCATCAAATTTTCTTCATTGTGTAACCTCAATACATAACGTTTGAAATAGTCACAAGCAGTTCAAAGACTCTTTGCCATCGGGCATCAATTAAATGTCTTGCAAAGAACTGACACGTCAGTGTCACTGACAGTTAATGCAAGAAAAGACTTGATGCCTTTATAGTAAAGTGGCTGAACTAATATCATTCAAGGATTTCTGGCCATCGACTCTGGGGTATGTCTTCACTACCGGCCGGATCGGCGGGCAGCGATCGATCCAGCGGGGATCGATTTATCGCATCTAGTCTAGATGCGATAAATCAATCCCCGAGTGCTCTCCCGTCGACTCATGTACTCCAGCTCGGCGAGAGGCGCAGGCAGAGTCAACGGGGGAGCGGCAGCAGTCGACTCACCGTAGTGAAGACACCGCGGTAAGTAGATCTAAGTACGTCGACTTCAGCTACGTTATTCACGTAGCTGAAGTTGCATAACTTAGATTGATCCCCCCGCATTGTAGACCAGGCCTGGCTGCTTAAGTATAGTGAAAAAAATTGATTTGGGAGCAAGAGTGTGAAACGCTAAAGAGAAGATGCTTGAAATAGTCTCTAAAGGGAAATTGTGTTGTCTAGCACTGCAAATTGCACTCTTAGAAACCAACTGAATGAAACAATCCACAGAGAAAGAAAGCTAGTCTTTGTGTAAAGTAACACTAGTGGATATGCACCAATGTTAGAGCAAAATTTGACATGAAGAATATGTGCCAACTCCCTCAAGTCAGTGGAGTTTTATGAGTCTAAATGAGAATTTGCCCATCTGAGAGCATAGGGGCATCAGATTCCCTTCCTGGTCGATAGGAAAAACATTTGTATGATTGTAATTTTTCTTGCACTATGTGGGCGGATTGATGTGACGGTGTGTTTGGTTGGATGCCAAAATTAAGAAAATTTCCGGGGAAAATCAAAATGAGATTACTTTAAAACCTGCATCATACTGGAATTAGAGAATAACTGCATGTTCAAGCATCCTCAACATTTTGATCGGGAACTGCAGGCAGTGGAATTTCCATAGACTTAGTGCATAGGGCAGATAGGCATTGCTCTGGAAATGTTAGTCATCCAAGGAAAAGGTCTATAGGACAACAGCTCAAAAGTTCTGAAAAATATAGCGATACTTAAGACAGAGAGTAGTGGAGGAACATTCAGAATATAGCCACAGTTGTGTATCAAATATACACTGACTGCTATAACTAGTTGTCCCACAATATTAATATTAGTTTAGTTATAACTTTGTTTTAGTGCTCAACTTTGGGATAGAATCAATACATCCTGTCAAGAGCATTTAAAAAAAACTTGCAATTGTGGATTTTCAGTGATTTTGATTCCATTTCTTGCAATAATCAGGAAAAAATAGGAAAACTGCTAGAAAACAGGATTTATTTAACATGTGAGCTGATGAAGCAATTGACATTTTTAATTGATCGGACACATTTTGCTTTCTTTGCAGTGCTCATTTTTGCCTAAATTCTCCATTCACATAGAAACAAAATATGAGGACAACAAAGGAAGCAATGACAATGTAAGTATGGTCTCTTTTGAAAAATAAATGTTTAAACCCATGCAAGGGCATTGTTAATCATGAAATATTCCTGGGGCTTGCATGGCTTACAAACTGAAAAAGAATGTGGAGCAGTCCTTAATCTTTGCACCTGGATAGCCAACTCATCAGCGTGAAGGGATGGACTCAACTGACCTCTTGAGCGCCCGGTCCAGCCCTACATTTCTGTGATTCTGTGAAGGCTGTGCAACTTGCAAAAGAATTATGTAAACCATTATGGTATAAAGAATTTGTGCCTCTGATCTTACCTCCAGGCTCCTCCTCTAATCTCAACATAATTCATGGGTGTGAATTTGGTGCTTATGAAGGATTGGGGAGAATGAGGGAGATATCTATATTATATGTATATGTATATTTATATGTATATGTATATTTAGGCTTGAATAGAGACTGGGAATGGCTGAGCCATTACACACATTAAGCAACAGAGAGTCCTGTGGCACCTTACTGACTAACAGATGTATTGGAGCATAAGCTTTCGTGGGTGAATGCCCACTTCGTCAGACGCATTTCCATTACATGCGTCTGACAAAGTGGGTATTCACCCACGAAAGCTTATGCTCCAATACATCTGTTAGTCTCTAAGGTGCCACAGGACTCTTTGTTGCTTTTTACAGATCCAGACTAACACGGCTACCCCTCTGATACATTGAATCTATTTCCCCATGTTGAGTATCCTCAAAACTTCTTGTCAAACTGTCAGAAATGGGCTAACTTGATTATCACTACAAAAGTTTTTTCTCTTAATTAATTAGCAACTTAGAGTTGGTAGGGCAACACCCACCTTTTCATGTTCTCTGTATGTGTATACATATCTCTTTACTATATGTTCCATTCTATGCATCCGATGAAGTGGGCTGTAGGCCACGAAAGCTTATTCTCAAATAAATTTGTTAGTCTCTAAGGCAGGGGTCTTAAACTCAAATGACCATGAGGGCCACATGAGGACTAGTGCATTGACCCGAGGGCCGCATCACTGACACCCCCCCCTCGCTGCCTCTGGCCCTGCCCCCACTCCACCCCTTCCATTAGGCCCTGCCCCTCCCCACCTCTTCCCATCCCTTCCCTGCTCCATTCCAACCCCTTCCCCAAAGTCACCACCCTAACGCTGCCCCCAGGGGGTGCAAAAAGGATGCAGGGTGCGGCGGGGGCTCAGGGCAGGGAGTTGGTGTGTGGGGTGCAAGAGGGTGAGGGGTGCGGCAGGGGGTCGGGGTGCAGCAGTTGGCTCAGGGCAGGGAGTGCAGGAGGGGTGCGGGATGCGGCAGGGGGCTCAGGGCAGGGAGTTGGGGTGCAGGAGGGGTGTGGGATGTGGCAGGGGGCTCAGGACAGGGTGCGAGTTCCAGCCTGGCGCCGCTTACCTAGAGCGGCTCCGGGGTGGCGGCGGCGCGCATCGGGGCTGTAGCCTGCACTGGCCCCCGGCCCCGGGCCGCTCTGTTTCAGGAAGCAGATGGAACCGTGTCCCTGAAATTCCTGGGGGAGGGGGAGGGGCTCAGGGTTCCGTTCGTGTGCTGCTCTTGCCACAACTCTAGATACCTCCCACGAAGCTCCCATTGATCGCGGTTCCCTGTTCCTGGCCAATGGGAGCTGTGGGGGCAGTGCCTGGAAGGAGGCAATGCAGAAGCCCTCAGCCTCCTTCCTCCTCCCCCCCGGCCCGAAGGGGCGTGTTTGAGACACCTGCTCTAAGGTGCCACAAGTACTCCTGTTCTTTTTGCGGATACAGACTAACACGGTTGCTTCTCTGAAACCTATAATATATGTATGTCAGTTTACCTGCTTGATATTATCTATGACTTATATGGAACTGAATTAAAAGGGGTTGGTAGGAAGAACAAACAGGAAACAAACCAAGGGTCAGAGATAAGAGCTCCGGGTAAACAACTTCAAGAGAACAATGGCTGGGCCACTAATTGGGAAGATGCTCTTCCCAGGCACCAGTCAAAAGTTACACAGCTGTTTCCTCAAGACCAGAGCCTAGAAATCAAAAGAGCCATGAACAGTTAAAAACTGTCTCTCTAAAGAAGGAGCGGGTAAGTGGCCAGTAGCAACTGAAGGAGAGAGACACTGACATAGAGACCCCGCTAGAGGCAGAGAATGAAAGAGGTCACTCTATCTATCCCAGCCCTGAGGTGGGGGTTTCTGGGTTAAGTGAACCTTCCTAGGCGTCCTAGATAAGACCAGATGCATGTAGATTTTTGTTATTTTAACCCAGTTCTCTGATTGCTGTGAATCTTTGGGTGAATAAACAATATGTTTATTTGGAAAAAGCTGTTTTGAGTCACTTTAATCAGCTGCTGGACACAGGCTGGGAAGTTTCTGGAGGAAAGTTTCTTGCAAGTGCCAAATCCACGTGGGCTGGTTGTGTTAACAGTGTTGGAAAACAGGGTGGCTGCAGCCCAGTTATTCTGTTTAAGTGATTGAACTGTGGGGTTCCATCCTTGTTGAAGGAAGTAAATCCTGTCACATGAGGGGTGCATTTGAGAGGGGTCTACAACACAGGTCACCCTATAACAATTACATGGGTGCTAGGTGGCATCTCTGGAGACTGACATCCTTTATTTACCCACACATTGTCCCAACCTTGACCCGGTGGAACCTCCTATAGTGGTGAGAGAATAGGTCAGGCAACAAGTTCCTTGGCCTCTCTGCTAAATTGCTGAGTTGATGGGTGCATAATAATTGCACATTAGATAACTATAATCTTGGTTTTAATCATGACTTTTGTGATGCAGACACTTTTCCATTGAGAACTGGACTGAGGCCACGAAGCAGCCATTGGATGATGATAACTTTCAGTCACTAGTTAACCTGAGCTAGATTCAAACCAGTGACTTAGAAGGAGAGAGGCTGTATATTCCATTGCCAATTGTCTTAGTCTTCCAGTATGTCCAGTTTCATACAATTATTAAATTTTTTCTCCCCCTTTCTGGCCTTAGTAACACTTTAACTCAGAGAAAGCCCATAGCTTATGATCAAGCATTTGTGACAGATGGGAGGGACACATAGTGTCCTAGCACAGTCAGACTGCAATGGCAGTTGGCAGTAAGAAGACATGTGCTCTGCACTGGTAGCATGGAATGAGGAGAGTTGGAAAGTCAGTTTTCCATTCAATTCATTAACCAAGCAGTGGGTGCTCAAAATATTTTCGGGATGTCAACTCTCTGGAGCAAAAATATTACTGAGTCAAGCCCTGAATAAGTGTCAAATCAGGGAACTTAAGGCAAACTGGACATGGGTGGGATCCTCAGTTGGTGTGAACTGATGTACCACCGTTGAAATCAAAGTCTTTATAAAGGTTAATTCTGACAACATTCCCTGTTGAGGTAGGTATTATAGTAAATTTTACAGCTGGACATTCTGAGGAACAAAGGTTAAGTCACTTGCCAAGTGTTACACAATAAATCAAGGGCAAATCTTGGGAATATAACCCATGAACCTTGATGCTGACCACTGATGAGGATGTAACTGGGTGTTGTGCTGAAATGATGGAAGGTAAATAAACATGAACCTTCTGCTGTTGAAAAGAATAAAGAGCCTGGTTCAAAGCCCATTGGAGTCTGTAGAAAGACCCCCAGTGACTTAATGGGCTTCGGACCTGGTCCCAGGCTCATTAGTGCACTCAGAACTAAGTGAGTAGGTTTAAAACTCAGTTTTCACTGGGGTCAAAGTATTCTTTTATGGCAAAATTTGCAGCCAGACTCAGGCTATATATAAAATTTTGCTATTTTTTCCTTTTTGGGCTCAACTTTTCATTTGACTCCATTTAAATATACAACAAGTTAAAATCATTATATTATTGTATTTTCTCCTCCGCCCCTTCCCCCTGCCCTCTTTGGCAAAAGGCAAATACAGCTTTTAACTGAACTGTACCCATAGCATTTTCACCTGGTGCTCTGGTGAATTAGCAGCATCAGGTTGCATTCAAAGATATTCTATATTTCCCTTCACTTTAACTGCCAACCATTGATGTGGAAATAATTAACTGTAGGAGATGCTTTCATACATTTTGCAGTTTCAATACAGAATATGTTGAATCATCCCTAATAGTAGAGTAGAATGAGGAATAAATTTATTGTCCTAATAATGCATGAGTGTCTTCAGCTAAGCTGTTTCTAGGCTTTCCTGGAGATTGTGCAGATCTTTTTCTTTAAATTATTCTCTGAACTCTGATCCCTTCTTCAGTTGCATGTGATTTAATGAAATAGATATTGATTGTAAAAAGCAATAATTAAATTGAAGAAAGCTAAAGATAATTATATTGATTAGTGGATGAAAGCAACATAAGTGCTTTCAGGCTCCTGTTATCGTTTAGTGAGCTAGTAAATTAATATGCTTACTTCACTTAACATGATGCATTATCTGGTAGCATTCTGTCTAATTCCAGTAACCCATCTAGATATAAATGTCTTTCTGACTTTTCTTCTTAAAATAAAGCTAATAGTCTTGAAAGCAGAAACTAATGAAAGACAACAACATTAACGAGAACTATAATTAAATTGTACCCAGGACTTGATTCTCCTCTGCCTTACACCTTGTGTCATCATTAGGGCAGCAGGTTTGTCACAGTGGGGAAAATGTCATGGATACTGTGGTTTTCCCATTTGTCTGGGACTTGTCTTTGTGTCCGTGATTTTAATAAACTCACCCAGCAGTGGCAGCTCCTGCGGCTCCAGTTCTGGGAGGGGCTGGGGCTGCCTCTCTGCTCCAGACATTGCAGCCTAGCACATGGGGTCATGACGGAATGCGGGGTGGGGCAAATTTGAGCGTGTGACCTAGTGCATGGGTGTCACAGCACTGCTTAGGTTTGGCCCAACTGCTCCTCCGTTGTCGTGACAGAGTGGCAGCCAGGCCAAACCTGAGCAGCACTGTAACCCCATGCTCCAGAGTGGGGAACAGGGCCCAGCCCTGCAAGGCAGGAGTTGCAGGCGCCAGTGCTGTGGGCCGCCTCCTGATTTGTCATGGTA